ATTTGGCTGAGAAACTTACTTTGATTGCTATATTCGGTATTGAAGATCCGTTAAGAGATGGTGTAAAAGAAGCCGTAGAAGATTGTAAAAGAGCTGGCGTTTATGTACGTATGGTAACGGGTGATAATATATCGACAGCTAGATCCATTGCAATTCAATGCGGTATTTTTACTCCTGATAATAAGGATAAAGATAAGACTAACCCTCATGATAAAGATTATGATGGTGGTATAATCATGGAAGGACCTGATTTTCGCAAACTTTCATCAGATAAATTTTAGTATGTGGAAAATGATAATTGGCCAATCCATTCTTCAATTGATTATTGCATTCGCTTTATTGTATAGGGGTGAAGATTTTTTCAATATTTCCGAGAATACGATTAGAACTATGGTTTTTAACACTTTTGTTTGTTTACAAATTTTTAATGAAATTAAGTAAGCTTTTTATTGATTTCTCTTTTCTTTTTATTTTTGAAAATACAAACAAACAAATACTAATATATATATATATGTATATGTATATAAAATAAAATAAAAAAGTTGTCGAAGATTGGATAATAATAAGAATATTTTTAAAAATGTTATTGCGAATAAATTTTTTTTGGTTATATTTTTTATTACGATTGGAGGACAAATTATCATAGTTACGTTTGGTGGTGCTGCGTTTCAAACAGCACCACTAAATATTATACAATGGTTGATTTGTATTGGATTGGGATTTTTATCAATACCAATAGGTTTTATAATAAGATTGATTCCAGATGAATTTTTAAAGAAAAATATAATTAAGCCTCTAACACCAAAACTATTAATCAAAATGATTCTTAGTAGAAGTACTAGTGCTAGTAAAGGAACAACATCTTCTTCCACTACAAGAAAATCATCATCAATGAAACCATTAACAAACTCAGATTATTCAAGTAATACTGTTGCTGGTGGTGATAATGAAGATACATTTGAAGACCAAGAAGAAGTTATTAATGCATTTAAGAAAGTTGAAAGCCAATTGAAAGTTTTTAAAACATTGAGGGGTGGGAGATTTAAAGCACATTTTGGTGGTAATGGTGTTGATAATAAGCAAGAAAAAAGGTCGGAGGGCTTTCATGCTGCTGCAATGTTACCCAGTTTAATGAGTGTTTCAATTGTTGGTGTTGGTAAAGCATCTACATCATCAAACAATAATAGCCTAGGGAGAAAATTTAGAAGAAATAAAAATGGCAGTAATTCTTCTGAAAATGAAAATGAAATGATGGATTTGAAATTAAATAAGAAATTACCTGATGTTAAGAATAATAATGGTGGTGATGATGATGGTGATAATCAAGGTGTTGGTGGTAGTTCAAATAATAAAAATGATAAAGATGATAAAAATGGTGATGATAATAAAGATATAATTGCCGTGGATGGCGTGTTGATATCTTCTCAAAATCTTCGTTGTGATGAATCTGCAGCTACCGGCGAGAGTGATG